ATATCTATGTATGCATTAAAAATAGATAGAATTAAAGATGCAATTTAAAATCCATTTCCTCCTATTTTGTTAAAGCTATCAATATATTTATTAAGTCTTGTTCATTTCATGTCAATTTTATTTATTATTACATAAGCATTTGATTTATATTGCAATAACTCCATTTAAAATCACATTAAGTGAAATTTTTATTTGAAAGAATTATTTCAATATTCATATCTCAAATTAAACCATGTAAGGCATCATTTGAAAAAATAAAGAGGTTTTTCTTGACGTTGGACATTAGGCTGATATCAATAAGACTAATGAGATAATAATTATACAATAATCTAGTGTAATTGTCAAAAGCAAACATAAAAGTATATCTTAATAAAGAAACAGTTTTTTTTTTATAATGAATGAAGAAATTAATTAAGAGGTATTTGTTTTGTGTAAAATATTTTATGAATAAGATGTAAAATCTTTTTTCAAAAAACATCTTACAAAAAATATTATTTACGATACTTTATACTTGATATATTATAATATAAAAAATATAGTGATATGAGAATGATAAAGATCAATAAGGCATCATACTAATGAGATAATTGATAATGGAGGGGATAATAAGGCTAAAGTAGTGGTGTAAGAGTTTTTGTAGTGATATTGATGGTAATAAAATGTATTTAACAAGATTAGATATTTAAAAATTCTTCTTGGGTTACTGTATTTATACATTCAAACTAAATTAAATAAGACAAATGTTTTATTATGCATTTAAAGTTATGTTATTTTATGTTGTTGTTTTTCTTTAAAGTATTTAATTTTTCCTGATGTTTTGGTTATTGAACTTTATTTCTTTGTTTTTGGTCATTTGGAGTTGTTACCATGGTTTTGTGTATTGGAGTTTGTTTTATTTTGTTTGCTCTCATATATGTATCATGAAAGATATTATTTTAATGATACATTACAAAATACTATTATAAAATGCAATTATAGGGTTTAAATGATAATTTTGTTTTAAAAGGACTAAATTGGCATAAAAGAATAAGGGCTGCTTTTTTTTACTTCTCATTTTTCATGTTTATAGGATGCAACATTCTACACTTTGGTCCTTTTATTTTTAAATTTTACTTTTCAATAATAAAATTTTATTTCTTTTATATTTTAATCATTGTCAATTTAAAAAGGAAAAGAAGAAAGACACTAGAAATATAAAAGAGAAAAAATACTCTCAAATGATCAAATTTTGACCATCAATAATTCTGATTTTAGTGTATATAGATTCATATTTAATAGAAAGGTTTTACATAGGTGATTTTTATTTTTATTTTATTTTATTTTAAGTTTTTAGACTGACTAGAATGTGTTTATGGTTGGAAATGAAGTTTTTTTTTAAGACTATGTAATAATTTTTTTTGTTTTTTATAATTTTAGGTTGAAAAAAATATTAAAATTTTAGTTTTTAAGGTACAAAAGCTTGGACTCCATGCTCTTAACCATTGAAGAAGATGATTGAAGATTATTATAATTGGTAAAACATTGTTATTCCATATGAATTATACATTCATCCACTGTTTTTAAAAAAATTAAGGTACAAGCTCCAAGGCTTAGATTTAAAGGCTTAAGTATGCTTGAGCTTAATATTTTATGATCTCTTGTTTTTTTTTAAATGCTTTTTATTTTAAATTAAAATCTTAATTAAATAAATAATTAGAATAATATTTAAAATATTATTTTTTATATTATTTTTTATTTTTTATGATAATATACGCACTTTGTTTTATACTTATACATGAAATTAATACGCACAATTTTTCTAAGAAATTACACATAAATATTCAATGAGATTAAAATATATAGTTTGTTATTTTTATATCATTTACTCAAATTAATTATCCTTTTATTTTTATATAGTCACGTATAAATAATCAAAACATGCTTCATGATTTAAAATTGTTTTACATATCATTAGTAGTTCTTATTTAAAAAACAATGTGTTACATAGACAATTTTTTATCTATAAGTTTTAGCCCATATCAGTCTAGTTCAACTAAAATCAACCTTTTATTATCAATTCACTCGTATTTGCCCATAATTATATGTTTCACTCACCCAAAAAAATTCCTACACTTTAACATGTCCTAAACAGACAAAATTAACACAAGCAAAGTAAGGTACACAACAAGATTCACAAGAACTTTTTCTTAATTTTTTATTAATTCTTAACATAGAAATATATACAAATTCATATATGTATGCTATGCACAAAACTTGCATCAAATTTGCATACCACACAAAAAAGACTTTAAAGCCTGTTTATAAATAATTTTATGGAAATTATAAAATAAGTTGTTGTACTTATTTTTCAAGACACAATGAGGTAGTTTCTCTTTATATTTTTCATAAATTTAATGGCCTCATTCCAACAAGTGTTGGGAAATTTCCTCCTGTGATCTTAAGAATTTAGTGACTTTGCAGAGTATTCCAATCACATCCCGTGTTTAATAGCCCATCACTCACGATTTAGATAGTCTTATTCTCAACTAGTAATGTCTGAAAACAATCAAAACTTTCTATAACTTTATCGCTACTTTCCCTTATAAATTGAATATCTAACTTCTAATTCTGCTATATTTCATATGTGTTTGGATTGTTTGTTGTCCAAGTCCTAACTTATATCAGCTCATTACCTTTATAAGCTAATATTATCAGTTTTGTCATTGCTATAAATTTTAACATTGTCTCACAGACTTCTGCTGCTATCGATTTCAACATTATCTCACGGTTTGTCACTATCTAATGTGTTTTTCCAACAATACCCTTGATGAATCTAACCCTATAACAAACCTCCTCCAATAAAAGAACCCAATGTTGTTGTCAGAACAAACATAAAATACCTCTGCTCTAAGTCTATCTATTATCACAATGTTGTGCCCTAATATAAACCCTTTTGTTTCTATGTTTAGTCCATCAAATATATAGTAACAAGAACATTGATAATTCCATCATCAATTTGTTTCCAAACCAAAACTATAACTATGTTTTTCTAAGATCCTTGCTTATTTCCAAACAAAGTTAAATCAAATACTTTGAGATCATCCCAAAACTATAAAGACCAACCCCATTGATTTTATTTGAACAAAAAAAATATTATACCATTATTGCCACATTTTTCTTATATCTCTAAAAATTCATATGCAATTCCCCCAAGTCATACACAACAACACACAACATGTATTCCTTTTACAATCTCATATGTTAAATCATTCACCCACAAACTTGTTTTATGATATTGATCACTCCTAAAGCATCTCTCAAGGTTTCATCATTCTCTTCACAAATATATTCATATAAAGTTTTAAATAGTGATCATGAACCCCTATAAATTTACCTGACTCTCCCAAACTCTTTATACCAATATACAAGTATGGAAATAATCCAACTTAATTTCAGTAATTAACATTTAGCGAAGTATAAAAACTAACCAAACTTCTTATAACTCTGCTATCATTTTCTCTTATAAATTGAATGTTTAATTGCAACCTTTAAATGTCAATTCTGTTATATTTTCACAGGTGTCTTGGATCTTCTATCATCTAAGTCCCAACTCACATTAGCCCACTACTCGTGTAAGTTAATATTCTTGATTTTGATATTATTTTATGTTTTGTTGTTGTCCATTATGTTTTTCTAGTTGTATTTTTGTTAGCTTATACTCCTAATAAATTTGATCTTTTATAACAATGTTTCTTATAAAAAATAAAAAAATGAAAAATGAGTTTTTTATAAAGAATTTTTTTTTTCTACTAAATTCAAATTAATTTAATTTTTATAAATATTTATTTTCATAATTATAATAAAAAAATAGTTACGAAAATTGTCCCCTTTGAACAGTATATTGCTGAAAGAACAACGTGGCATAAGTGTCCAGCTGTAACCCCGGCAGCGTTGATTCGAAACGGGAATCGCGCCTCGGCTTGCGGACCACGGAAGAAACTAGAAAACCCTGGAACTAGTTAGCATTAACGGCGCCCGTGAAGTCTCCAATAAGGCCCTGTTTGTTTCCTCACTTTTTTTTTTTCCGATACAAAATGCAGTCTTTTCCCTCTCGCAGCCTGTATCCTTCTTCTTCACTCAGGAAGGCAATTTAGTGAGTTTGTTCAGTTTATGTGCCTTTATCGTATTACTATCACAATTTTTTTTATTGTATAATTATTATTATTATTATTTATTTTCAAATTATTTGTGATAACTACTATTTTGGTTCTAATTGATTTGAAAATAATTGTCTCTTGTTTAACAAGGTCTATTTTGAAAACATGAGATATAAGAAACTATAACTGTCCAATAATAAAATCAAAATCATTTTTTATTGAAAATAAAATGAACATCTAATTTATTTGAATATTTATTTTTTCACATTATAATTAATTTTAAAAACTATAATTAAATGTTCTAAAAAATATAGAATTGAAATGGTAACTTTTATCCTCGATCATCAATTAAATTATAATTTAATATTTTATCTATTTTTTATTCAATATTTTATACAAAATAAAAATTTTATATCGATAATTAACCCAACAGGAACTTATTAACACAAAAAAATAATATTATATCTAATTTTTTTATATTTATTTTTTAATTGTTTTTTTCATGTTTTCCATTTTCTAAGAGTAAATTATAAAATAATTAATATTAAATAATTAATGCTAAATTAAAGATTCATAAATCTAAAATAAAAACCAAATGAGAAATTATTCTCAAACCTTTATAATTCAAATTAGTCAAGGAGACGAATCAATCACTAAAAAAAAAGATTTACCCCAATAATCAATTGATTTTTTTTTTGAATTTAGATCAACTTGTGAAATTTATATCTAATAAAACCACAATAAATTAACAATTTATTTTGTTTTTCTGAGAAAAAAAACTGATATTACAACAGCCCACACTGAAGAAAAAAAGGTCTTAAAACCGAAGGCAATCGAAACCCTAAAATAACGCTTCTTTCAAATAAAAAAAAAACCCGTCTCCAAACGTGGCCTTAAGTATAAACACACACACAGGGTTCCTTACCCCCTACCCCCTACCATCTGTTCTTTTTCCTGCTCTCCAAGGAATCGGTAAGAACACAAAAATCTCGAGAAAATGCTCTCTTTAATTAAGACCAAAAGCCCATTATTTTTTTAGCTATAAACATCTATTTAATCTCTCGAAACTTTTTCTTTTTTTTTCTTAGATAATGGGGGCAGAGATAACTCAAAATCAATGGGAAATAAATAACGATAGCTGCAGCAGAAACGGTCATGATTTGTTGGCTCTTGATGGTAATCATGATCATGGAGGATTTTCTGAGAGAGGATTCTGTGATGCGCAGGTGCAACAAGAATCGAATAGTGCATGCACAACAACGACGACGGATGTGAGTTTAGGGATTGGAGAAAGAGCTGTGTCTGCTGCTGGTGCGGCTTTTTTGTCTGCTATTATTGTTAACCCTCTTGATGTTGTCAAGGTAATTATTTACGTTTTTTTCTTCTTTTTTATTTTTATGGGTTTCAGTTCTTTTTTTCAGTTTCGGATATTTAGGTTATGTCAATATTGTTTAACATTTTTTTTTATTACTGTTATATTTGTGCTTCATGTTTATCTTTTTTGGTTTTTTTAATAAATTGAAAATGAGGTGTTCTTTTTGTTTTATTTTGTGATTTTGGGTTGTTAATTTATGCCAATGTTGTTGATAAATGATATGGGTTTTGTCTACAAGATCCATTGGTGTTACTTGAATGCGAGTTTTGATTCATTTGTTTAATGGGATATAATTTCTGTTTTTTATGTTATTTTTAGTGGTTTGTTTATGGTTTTTATTTTCTTATCTAGTTAATTTATATTTTATTTATATTAGATAAATATTTATCATAAAGTAAAGATATTTTATAGTATTATTTTAGTTAAATAATTAGTGATACTTCAAATATAAAATACTTATATAAAACCTCGATAAAAATATATTTTTCAATACTAATTATGGTTCAAAAATTTAAAAGCATGGTGATTACTGAATTATTTCATGATCTTTGATTTCAGACAAGGTTGCAAACACAGGCAGCTGGAGTTGCATACTCACACCCCTTAAGTAACATTATAAGTAGAATGGCATATTTTGGGCCAACCATGGTATGGACTTCTCTCTTTTCTTATCTTTCCTTTTCGTTTATATTTTGGATGTAACTGTTGTATAAATTCTTCACGCTGCCAAAGTTTGCAATTAATGGGGATGTTTGGTGTTGGCTCAGATGTTCGCTGATTTAAGGTGTTCACCATCATGTACACATGCTGGGGTTCATGGAACGGTGTCAATTTGTCCTCCTGATTGTTTTCAGTATAAGGGAACTCTAGATGTTTTCTACAAAATCATACGGCAGGTTGGTGATTTGTTAATAATTTGTGATAATATAGAATTGTAAATAATTCTAGGGGTGAAACACCAAAAAAGAACTGATAGAACAGCAAGCAGCATGATTGGACAGTGAAGTGCTTGTATTTGTATTTTGCAGTGGTCATCTCAGATGCTGATATCAAAAGTTTGACATAGTGTTGGGTGAACTAGTTGCAGGCTTGTATATTGATCTTTAGTATTGCGAAAAGATTGTGATTTGCATATTCAACTCTAGGGTTTATCCATAGTGACTCTGGTTTTGATTGTTCTATGGGCTTGAACCACTATCAATTGTTTAATTGGAGGAAAATTTCATAGGAAGGAATTGCGAGGCTATGGAGAGGCACAAATGCTGGTCTGGCGCTGGCTGTACCAACAGTAAGTCCCTCAATTAGCAAGGAAATTTTCAGTTGAGAGATGGTTCTATTGCAAGGTTGAAATATTTTGTATTATATCAGCTCTTAGTTATGTTTGTTCGTACTCCCTCATGCAGGTTGGGATCTACCTACCATGCTATGATTTATTTCGTAACTGGCTGGAGGATCTAACTGCTCAAAATATTCCTGGTGCCACTCCATATGTACCTTTGGTAGCAGGTTCATTGGCACGTTCGTTAGCTTGCGCGACTTGCTATCCTATTGAACTTGCTAGAACCCGCATGCAGGTAGATAAATGATTTCATATATATATTTGTCTGTGTTATATTGGGAATGAATCCCCCTGTTGGCATGGTAAAGAAATGGTTTCATCTTTTATACATCTCCAGTATGGATACAAGTTTCCAGATTCCAAGCTCCCTATCCTACAACTAGTAGTAAACTGTTGATGTCATTGTTTCAACATGATGCTAGAAATGGAACTTTTGATGTCTTTGTTTCAACATGATACTAGAAACAGAACTGTTGATGTCACCTGTTTAAGTAGATAATGAATTACCATGGCATTTTGTAATCTCTCTCTCTCTCTCTTCCTGTATTCTATAATTTTATTTGATCTCTAAGAGCATGTTTGTTTCTGCGTTTCAAAAGCGCTTTTGAAAAAAATTGAAATTTTTTTATTTTTTTATTAACTTCAAATTAATATGTTTTTAATGTTTTCAAATCATTTTAATGTGCTGATGTCAAAAATGATTTTTAAAAAATAAAAAAATATCGTTGGCATGTATTTTGGCACGAAAAGCTATTTGAAAAGCAACAGCAACCACACTTCCAAACAGGCTTTAAGTCACCCAATGTAGTCTAGACTGGTGCTATCTGTCGGAAACAGACTTTGAGATGATTTCCATGTCTGTTTTTTGTGTGTGTTTATGTGTGTGTGTGTGTGTGTGTGTGTGTCTAGTGTATGTTCTTTGTTTTCTATGAATTACAATTTGGTGTATGGATCTTTGTTTCCAATTAATTACGCGGACAACAATTTTTTACTCACTGTTCTCCCAAATTCCATAATGCAGTACAACTAACATAATAGGATGTTATTTGCAATCTTCCTTAATACATGAATTTATTTTGTGACAGAACATGTTTAACTGGAAATTTCACAATTTCAATGATTTAGTATATATTTTATCACCCTAGACATTGTTTAAAAAACTAAGTTTATAATATGAAATTGTGTTTGCCTTAATACTTGATCCTGGATTGTTGTTTATTTTCAGGGGAGCTTCTTACTTGACTTGTTTGTTTCTTCAACCGTAGGCATTTAAGGCAGCTCAAACTGTTAAACCTCCGGGAGTTTGGAAAACATTAGTCGAGGTCCTCTCCCATGTCAGAAGTACAAACAATGTTCAAAATGGTAAATGGTTCTTTTATCATTGCATAATTTTGGATCTTCATTGGATTGGAAATTGAAGGTAGTGGAATATGTAACCTGTTTCGTGCCTCATATGAAATTCACCTACACCAATTAATAAAAGGTTGTTGCCTCAGACTCATCTTTCTAGTTTGTCATGACTGGTGAGGATTAATTAAAGTTCACTGGATATCAGTGTCCATGAAGGAAAAAATATTTTCCGGCTGATTGGCGTTGGCTCATTAAAATCCATACATATCACCTATAAGAAACCTGTGAAAATATCTCAAATATAAAAGGACAACGTAGAATTCCAGTTGGAAGATAAAAAAGGCTAAAAGTGAAGGTCTCCAAAGTCAAAAGAGTGTCTCTTTTAATGTATAGTACGGAATAATCAACTTACTGTTTTGGAACGACTTATTGCGATAACTAACACGGTTTCTTGCAACAGTGAGAGGCTATCGCATCTTGTGGACAGGCATGGGAGCACAGCTTGCTCGTGATGTTCCATACTCAGCAATTTGTTGGTCAACCCTTGAGCCAGTAAGTAGCCATCTTCTTGCATTTCTACAAAAAAAAAATTTGCTAATGGTCTTTGGATGTAGTTATTGTCTATATGCTGTATATTTTGCTGAGAAACGGAAAATTCTGTTTTCTGTTGATATAGATCAGGAGAAGGCTTCTAAGTTTGGTTGGCGAGGACCCCAATGCTTTTAAAGTCTTTGGAGCAAACTTTTCTGCTGCTTTTGTCGCAGGAAGTCTTGCTGCTGCTGCTACATGCCCTCTAGATGTTGCAAAAACCCGCCGGCAGATAGAGGTTATTGCTTTCCCCTGCCCTTCTGAATGCAATTTTATGCAGATGTTAGCCTCCAATCATGTGCTAAGGTGTTCCATGTAGAATGTAATTTAGGGCTAATGAATACTGGTTCGGAATCAATATTTTGAAAAACAAATAGGAGTGGACAGTGCAATGAAATATATATATATATTTGTCTCATGAAAATCAAATGAGAACAAAAGGAACCAACTGAATTGGATTCCAGATTGTGGCCTGAAAATTGAGATTTATGCGCTGCTATCTTGACCTACAATGTCTGACAAATTTGATATCATCATTTGATTTTCAGAAGGATCCTGTTAGAGCATTGAGGATGACTACCCGGCAAACATTGAAGGAGGTTTGGAGGTAGCTTCCTAATTTCATGAATGTATTTGTTGATTAAAGCCCATCTTTTTTAAACCATGACGCCAAATGGTTGTTCAGTGTTTTTTGTAGGCTGCTGGCATGCAAACCACTTGATTGCATTGCCATGACAGATCTTCTGAACTTCGTAATTTATGTATGATTTATTGTTTGTTTGAAACAGGGATGGAGGAATGAGGGCACTTTTCACAGGTGTTGGTCCTCGTGTTGGCCGTGCCGGGCCATCTGTTGGGATTGTGGTTTCGTTTTATGAAGTCGCGAAGCATCTTCTACATCACAGATATGCAACTTCAGAGTAAATGGGAATCGGTGTACTGCTGCCATTTTTTTTTAATTTTTTCACAGAAGCAATGCTCGGTGATGGCATGGGAACAACATTTTTGACATTGGAAAAACAGTCAATAGTAACTACGTGAATAACATACAAGCAGAGAAGAAATGCAGTTTAATCATGGTTAGGTGCTTTATCTCTAGGCCTGGAAGAGTAGGATAGAATCTTTTCATCATCCAATTTTGTTTTCCAGGTTGTCCATAACGTGTACTGCCCTAGAGGAACAGAAATTTTTCATACTTTTGGGGATTTTCCCTGATCAAAGTTTTTTTTTTCCCGTCTTCTGAGGACCTTGCATACTCTCTTGCACTTCTTCCGCCAGTTTCTTACATTTCGATCTAAATCACTGAATGGAAAACAAGAACTTGGGCATTTGAAAATAATAATAAAAGAAAAATAGTTAATTGTCACATTTTCGATCCCTAAATTTGCTGTAATAAAATGAGACAACACACTACTTCTTCCAAGACAAAAAACATAAAAAAATAAAAACCCTGGATGGTCGATGGAGATTATCCTTCAAGTTTTCAACGAGTTACATATGGAACTAGTTGGATCTTGTAAACATACCAAACACAATTCTTCTTCAAAGCAACACAACTTCCTCTGGCTTCTGAATCAGTGAATAAGGTATGTGAGCACCAATGCTACAAGCATCAGAATACAAGCTATTCCTTGATCAATTGCAGTGCCTGCAAACACAATATATAAGAGGAAAAAGGGTGAGTAAATTTTATTTTTTATTAAATAATATTCTTAAAAGGGTAGGTTTTTATTCAGTTTCCCAAAATTTGAAGACCAATATCATAACACTGAGCCTTAATTTAACCCTAAAATAAGCAAGGCAAGGGAAGAAATAAAATTGCTAAAGAAAACAAAAACAAGTTCTACGAAACAAGATTCAAATTGACAACACTTCAAGAAGCTTCTTTTTTTTTTGCAAGTTAGCAACTCATATCTGTCCATTTATTTCTATGTCAATGAAAGAAGCTGGCAACAAGAAGGAATAGACTCACCATCGCTTGTGGGTGATGGAGCAGGAGCTGAGGTTTGGCCATGAGCCAAAGGCATAAAGATGGCACAAATCATGGCAACAATGGCAGCTAAAACTCCAAATGAAATGTGAGAAACAGCCATTTTCTTCTTTATCTCTTCTTTCTTCGCTACTTCCTTAAAAAAAAACTCCCTCTCTTCGAAAAAAACAATCGAGAGGAAGTTTATGGAAATAGAAAGACAGAGAGAAGAAGCAGAGAATATTGGAAAACAATGGTGCTAAATGTAGAGGTGATGAGGGAATATTATTTATAGTGAGAACATGCATGGATATAGGGTTTGTGCCCATGTTTACATATATTGACCTAGTCTATAAATAAATTCTATCTAATAATTTTTCATGACAAAGAATCAATGATACTAAATTAAGGCCATTAATTTACTAAATTTCTCCCTATATTAGTGGAGTCTCCCATCTTTACTACCTGGGAGACAGTCAAATTTTGTTCTAGTCACAGCATTTCAGCCCTTAAAATAGAGGTGCCCGAGAAAGAGTTGATGGAGTCAAGTCTAAAAGGTCCCTATTAGTTAGAATTGTCCTTCAAAAAAAAAAAAACATTTAAAACGTAGCAAAATTTTAAATTAGTTTTAATGAGGAAAGATTGAATTATTAACCCATTTTTCTAATAGATAAGTGTTTCTCTCGCATGATACTATATTCTAAATTGTGGGAAATTAAATTCTTTGACAATCAAACCTAAATCAATATTTGTTTGGCGTTGATGACTCCAAGAGAAGCCTTCCATCTAAATATAATAGATATATTTATTCTTTTCTAAATAATGATGTTGCTGGTTTTAAAACTTAATTAAAAAATCAATTCAGTTTAGATTACATAATGAAATAATTTATCCGGGTTAATTTTAATCATTTAATTTTTTTTTAAAAAATCAAAACGATATCATTTTAATAAAAAAAATCAATGGATTAATGATTAATTTTTTACCTAATCACTTTTTTTTTTAAAACTTGGATTAGTTAAGATCTCGGATCAACTTACCAAATCAATCCACTGCTAAGATTATTTCTTAATTTATTATTTTTTTGATTCCATAATGATAATTATATGATCATGAATGTGATTATTTATTTCATTACAGAATTGCAATTATATCAATTTCATTACAGAATTGCAATTATATCAATTGAATGTGATGAGATTCCCATCTAATAATTTCAAAAATAAATACCATAACATGTAATCCTAAAATTATGGTAAAATATGAAATATTTAATACTCTTTAACATTACTTAGCAAGGTTAAAAAAAAAAAAGAAGTTTGAGTTTAATTGCAGGTAACGTATGGGGCTTGATATATTGGCTCTGTTAATTTTATTGCTGTAGCATATTTTATTTTGAAATTTACCTGTATGCTCCCTCCATGGATTGAACACCCACTTATACTCCATGTTAATGGCAATTGTATCTCCTCTTATTTAAATACAAGTTAATCTCTTTTCTTAAGCGTTGGAGTTTCTATGTTTTTCAAGTCATTACTGTATAATAATAATAATAATAATAATAATGCCATTATCACTAAGCATTTGTGGCATGAGAGTTTAGATCATAATTATAAAACTTGATTTGCAATATGAATAGATTTAAAATTCAGGTTATAAATTGATTTAATTAATTTATAGGTCCATGAGTTATTTTTTTATTTATTTATTAAAACAATACCATTAAGTTAACATGATTGAATTGAGCTAAATTAAAATAGACTAATTGAGGATTGAAATTCATTTCTAGTCTCCTCTCATAGCATTCTTTACTTGAATACTATTTTATTTTTAGAGGATCTCCAACCAAAGATGTAAATGGAAAGGCAAATTAAAAAACATATCCTTTTAACTTTTATTTTCTTATTTGATCATTACAATAGAGTAGGCAACAATAAAAGGTAAAATGGCTTTTCAATTTAGAAAGAGCTATTTCTACAAGTTTTTGTAGAATAGCCAAAATTTTATTAACGTTGCCAATGACTATTTTTATAGCCGTTGGTCAACATTGTTTGTTTGTTCTTTAAAATTAAGGAAAGAAACTTATTTTTTAAAAAAAAAAATCTTGTTTTGTACCTCAATCTTCTCTCAAATTTAGAAAAACAAGAATCAATTATTTTTTAGTTAATTACTAACATCGGTTGTGTCAATTAGCTGAAATTAAAAGGTATATTTATTTAAAAGCTTTTTATATTTACTCTTTAATATCTCTTGATTTTGTAGATCTTTTGTTGTTAATTTGATATTTGTGATGATTTTTATTTCTTTGTTATTTTATGTTTTTGATATGGGTTAAGGAAAATAATTTTTTATTTATGTTGCTATCTTTAACAAAATTAAGATGAAGTAATAATGGTAGCTGATATTGATAAAAATATAGAGTAACATATTTAAAATTTATTTTTGATTGTTTGTTTTAATTTAAGATTAATTATATTTTGTCTTGTTGAAAATGCAATTAAACCAGTATATCAATCCTCTCTTAGTTCCAAAAAATAGTCAAATTGTAATGTTAGAACAAGTAGGATGCAACGCTTGTTATTAATTCACATGTATGTAAACTATAAAATTGCTAGACATTAAATGTGCGCCTCTTTTACACTCTCTTATAAGGTTTTAACTTGAAGTTTTTTTTAATGTAAATGGATTCAAATTTTCCAAGCTCTTTCACCAACATTCTTATGAGTGAGTCAGAAGATATTCTCTCTCAACCAAGTGATTCTAATCAATTAATTGATGACTTAACATACTCTAATTTAAATGTCCATACAAGAAAAAAATCACAAAGAAGTAAAAACTTCTTACCAGAGGAAGATTGTTTACTTGTCTCTGCATGGCTAAATACAAGCAAAGATCCAATTACAGGAGTTGAACAACAAACAAAACAGTTCTGGGCTCGAGTACATGCTTACTTTATAAAGAAGGGAGAAAACTTGAATAATCGTTCCCAAATAAGCATCTCAAATAGATGGCAAGAAATAAATAGAGAAGTCGGTAAATTTGTTGGATTTGTTATTCAAATTGAAAATCGTCAGCAAAGTGGAATGACAAAAGAATGAAGGGTAATTTTAATATCCGTTTTCATGTTAAATTGTTTAACATATATTTTAATATTCGTTTTCATGTTAAATTGTTTAACATATATTTTAATATTATTTAATTTCTCTAATTTTTTTACTTACCAGATTAATGATGCTTGATAAATATATGCTTCTTGCGTTGGCAAACGATTTTAACTAGAACATTGTTGGGTTATCTTAAGAAAAGAACTCAAATGACAATTTGAGCGTGCAAGTCAACATCAAAGGTCAAACAAGAAACAAAAAAGTCATGTCAATGCAAGTCCGACTTCATTAGCTCCATCTACCATTTATTCTGTTAGTTTAGGAGAAGACAATGAACCATTGATTTATCAAGATAGACCAATTGGTTAGAAGGCTGCAAAGAAACAACTTAAACGTAAATAAGGAAAAGATAAAGTTGGAGAGACAACTGTAACAAATCTCTTACAACAATTCAGGGATACTCTAGTTGAAATTGAGGATTAGAAGAAATAAGACAGAAAAATTATGTTAGAGAAACAAGCTATGATAATTCAACAAAGTCAAGAGAAACAAGAATTGGACATAATTAAGAAAGAAGAACAAATTATGAAAACGGATATTTCTAATTTGGATCTAATTTCTGCAGCGTATTTTCAAAATAAAAGGTTAGAAATTATACAAAAGAGGGGTTTTAATTTTTAATTAACTAGATTTATTTTTTGTTTAATGTAATGTATTTTAATTTAAATATTTAGAAATTTATTGTTTATTTTAAATATATTATTATAAAAGTGGTATCAATTCATAATATGTTTTTGAAGTTCTTTTAACACTTAACAATAATAAATAGGATTAATTAACTTAAAAGATAACAAACATAATGAAAAAAAAACATAAAAAACTTGAAAATTATGATGACATAAGAAGTTCAAAGCTAATGATTCTACTCGTTATCATATTGTTCCCATAAATGTTCAACCAAATCTTCTTGTAGTTGAGAGCTAGTTGCTCTATCCCTGATTCTATTATGAGTTTGAAGAAAATAATGTAATTCTGGTATTTCACATGTGACACTGATATAAAAGAATTGACTTCATGTTCATGGTCAAATCCAAGGTTCATTGCTCCTTCATCCTCAATAATCATATTATGCATTATTATGCAAGCTTTCATAATATTTGCAAGCGTTTCTTTATCCTAGTATCGAGCAGGTCCACGTATAATTGCAAAACGAGATTGGAGCACCCCAAATGTTCACTCTACATCCTTTCTTGCAGACTTTTGCTTAGTTGCAAAATATTTTCTCTTTGCTTCTAATGGCCTTGGGATTGTCTTAACAAAAGTTAACCAATTAGGATAAATCTCATCTGCTAAATAGTATCTCATTATATATTCATGCCCATTAATTGTATAATTGACAGGAGTAGTACAACCTTCAGCAAATGCAACGAAGATAGGTGACCGATCAAGAATATTAATATTATTTAATAATCTAGGCATTCTAAAAAAGGCATGCCATATCCAAAGATCTTGTGAAGTCATTGCCTTTAGAATTATAGTTGGTTCACGACAATGACCAGTATACATCTCATGCCATGCAATTGGGCATTTCTTCCATTTTCAATGCTTACAATCAATGCTCCCTAACATCCCTGGAAATCCACGTTGTTCTCCAATTGATAATAATCGACAAATATCAACCTCGTTTGGTGCCCTTAAATACCAATCACTAAAAACTTCTACAATTACTTTGACGAAAGCTCTAAGACTTTCTATTCCAATGCTTTCTCCAATTTGAAGATATTCATCAGTAAGATCTGCATAAATACCATATGCAAGTATTCTGTGAGTTGCAATTACCTTTTGAAGACAAGATAAACCAAGAACACCAAGAGCATTTGTCCTTTGTTTGAAATATGGATTATGAGCTTCCACTACATTTGCGATCTGAAGAAAAAGACGACGACTCATCCTAAATCTTCTTCGAAATTGAGTTTCAGTGAATTTAGGATTTTCAGCAAAATAATCATTATATAACCTTAACTCACCTTTCTTTCTATTAAGATTGACAATGTTGTGGCCAGGAATAGAGCTACGAGATCCTGTTCTCTGCCCTTGATTATTCGATTTTTCTTCAGCAACCATAACAGTAGCAACTTGAAAAGCGAACATAGGAGTGTCATTATCAAAATCAAAAGCATCATAAAAATTAAAATAAGAATGATTCATGATGAATTTTAATGAAATATATTTTTGATGGGAGAGAAAACAATGGAATGATGAGAAAAAATGTTAAGGTATATGAGAATATTTATAGATGGATTAAAATTTCAAATTTTAAAATCTTAGAATGATGGTAGTCATTTTTTCAAAATTTGAAATTTTAAAATTTAAAATGGCGGCGGTTATTTTTTCAAAGCATGAATTTTTTTAAAAAAAATAAATAAAAAAATTTAAAATATTGATAGTTTTTTTCAAAGTTTGAATTTGAAATTACTTTTAAAAAATTAAATTTTTAACAGTAACATATAAAACTGAAAATTAAAAATATTTATATAAATAAATTCTAAGTTTAATTTTAAATTATATCTTTTAACTTTCATATTATTTCATTAAATTTTATATTATTTTTATAAATTACTCATATTAATTATATAATTAATAACATCATAATTATATTATATATAAAATATCTAAATTAGTTATATAATTATATAAAAATAAATTTGACATGAAATATATTAAAATATAAATAGCTTTTCTAAATAGCTTTTTACTATTGGAATGCACATAATAAAAAAAGTTATATTTATATTATTCAAAAAGTCATTTTATCAATTTAGTTTTTTGCATTGGAGATGCTCTTAAGATTTTATTTTTTTAAAATTTTATTCTTCAATACTAGATTTATATATCATATTCTTATGAATAGAGTTGTAGATTTTGAGAGTTAACTTGATTTTTTGGTTAATTTGTTTAATTTTATTTTTTTAATATTTAATTAATTTGAAATTAGAGTCTATAATTTATTTTATTTTATTTTATTTTATTTTTTATATTATTTTTATTATTTATATTATAAATTCAATGAGTTAATTTAGGAGTTTTTATTTTTTTGGTAGCTATAATGTGACTGGGGGACTCCAAAAAAGCTTGGATTCAAGGTGTCCCCGGACGCTTGGATTTGGTGGAGCCAATCTTGCACCACCTTGATAATTACTGAAGTGGTTGCTGCTTCTATTTGCCTAAAAGAAAAGGTCATCCAAACATGTTTTACAGAACCCCAAACAACACCTCGGAAGTGCCAAGAACTTGCTCCATTTTAGACATACATGATACATATGTCCCATATATCTTTGTTGCTTGACATTTATGTAATCTCTAGCGAGGCCAAGGAAAGCTCCCATGGCAAACTTCCTTTTCTGCTCATCACTTCGAACCATTAGATGTCCATATTCTATGAGTAAGCGATCGAGTTGCCACTCGGGCATTCTCCCATACTCTGACTTGTAAGCTCGTCTGGGCTGAAATTGCTCTCAAACTATTTTGAACATTTATCTAATGAAATTCAATTTACCCTGTCAAAACCATGAAAGACTTCATCATGTCAATTTTAGGACTTTTTATATATTAAATTTTTTTTTATCAGAAACAACTTTTTTTTTAAAATCTAAAATAACATCGGTCCCAGACCAGGTCTGAGAAACCATGGAGTCACCATGAATATCATTTTCCTGATCCAAAGCATCTTCTTCTAACAAAACAATATCTACTCTCAGTAAGGATACCTAACGTATTGTCCCTTTCCAATTCTTCTAGCCGCCCGTCTATGACATGATTGATGGGCTGATCCATGATCCATAATCCAAAGAGTGGAAATCGCCATGTGTGATCACTGGAATGCAATCTCTCATGCTATATCAGTTATCAAAGCACAGGGATACATAATTATAAGACAGTCCTTTGATTAGGATTGCTAGAATTCTTGCTTAAAACTTTCTTAAGCTTTTCTTGCCCTCGCCAGACCAAGTGTAGCATATTATTTTCATGTTGAGTGGAAACGAACTTACACCTTGTAAAGTTGCCCATCTTGGTTTTGAGCAATTTATTTTCAAGTCTGGAAGGCTTTGATGGTCTCTAAATTTTAAAACCAACATGATACAGTCCTTGTAAGCATAGCGGAGCCTTGCTCTACTGTCGCAGAACTTAGCATAGACAGTTTTGATTTTAAAAGCATAAGAACTGAGCAGCTTCACCAGAATTTTCGCCCCCTTTTTTCTTCACATATATACCCCAAAAAAGGGGCTGCATCGAATGATTGGAGATGCTTGAAAGAGAAGACAATTGGCCATCATCCCCACCAAACATTTGGAAACTCCCTCAATAACTGAAGTAACACTTGTATCATCTCATATCATCAAAGAGGAATGAAAGTTCATGGAGAATTACAAACACTGATGAGAAATGCAACAAGATGATACCTAAATACTCTCCTATACAAGTCTGACGGCTCAAACCTAATTAATTAGGACTAAATATGAACATAAATTAGCAAAAGATGGAAGAAGTGGATGTTCCGCTAATACATGCAAACCTATAGTGGCACGGTGATAGAATCTATTTATGCTTACAAGTTATACACTTCACAAAAACCAAAAGGATTAACCTGCTAGCAGAGGATGGGGAAACAACAAAATACCATTCTAGGTTTATCATCTATGTGAGTTCTGTTTCTACCTGTTTCACTGACTCGCCTGGTCTTGAGGGAGGAAAAGAGGATCCTCTTTGTTTTTGTAGATCTGAAACAATTGTTTAGAGTAGTGAGTAGCCAATTTCCGGCACAGTGTAACACCTTTCGAGTTGTATGATTGCAGCTCCAGGACAGATTTCTTTAGATCACCAGAGGGATCTCCATCAATGAGAAACTCAGCTAACTTACTGCCCCTGTAAGATTTCTCAAAAGGATTAGCAGAATGATCAAAATTTCAAGGAACTTTTAATAATGCATCCTAAGGAAACATTGAATCTGAGTGCTTATATATATATTGAGTTTTTATTAGCTCATTGAGACCAAAGGGAGAAGAAAAAGGCAAAGGGGAAATTTTTTAAATAGTCAATGAATAAGCAAAACTTGCAGAATTCTTGAAATATTGAAGAAGATGCTATGACTTGATATGTGCATGGGCTTATATATAAATCAAGTGGAAAGACTTTCATAAGTGAGTCTTTTAAACTGCAGTTGGCCGATATAAAAAAGAAGAATCTAAATTTATACCTGGGAGCATCAAATTTGCTAAATCCTCGACCATTGTCATGCAATGTTTCCTTGTTAAGTTTTTCCTCATCACTTTGCTGCCGATAGAGAGCACACACAGCTTTCATACACAGTTCAGGATCTTTGCCAAAGTCTGAGAGCATATCTCCCTCAAACTCCCACTTGAACTTGTGATCCTTGCTCCTTTGAAATCTAGACAAAATCATCCCAAAGTCGGGGTCTTCATCTGATCCATCATCTGACAGGCCAAAAGCATCATTTCCATCATTTGGTTTCTCTTCTGACTCACTTGAAGTATCATCAGCATCAGATGCATAGGTGTCATCACTCACAATAAATCCATCCAAGCTCCCACCTTCACTGTCTGATCCAGCATCATCAGATTCACTATCTTCAACATCATCAGTTGTAGGAATTCCTCGATGGTAGTTGGTTTCAGAGGTGTTACTTGGAGAGATACTTGCCTTAACTTTTCCTTCATCATTCCTCAATGTTGCTAAACGCCGCCTTGAACGAGTTACAGGACCTTTAACATCATCGCTCTTGGGAGTCACCCTATCTATGCTTACTACATGAGGAATTGATTCCTGAAGATGCAACCTCTTTAGTTTAGATATTGGAACATTGTCATCTACATCACTCTCAGTATCACTAGCAATAACATTAGCAGCTCTTTTTCTTTTGGGAGTCGAAACATGTGGAACATTATCATAGACAGCATCCATATATTCTTTGCGAATCTGGTTGCAAACTGCCCCCTTTAAAATGATCTCTGAAATCTTTTGGTTTTTACTATCTGGAGTTCTCTCTAGTGGATGATCCATTGAAATGCAAACCTTTCCATTTCCCTGACCATCAGAAGTAAACGTTTGTATACCACGGGTATCAAATTCATCATCACTGTCACCAATGTTGATAACATTTGGAGCAGCACGACAAACATAACCTGGGGTTGATGGGGCTATCTTTTTGCTTGGGCTTTTGCCTTCTTCAAATGATAAACTCTTTCTAACTTGTCCACCACATTTCCCTTCAGAGTCTAAATAGATACTTGGTTTTCCACAAACAGTGTGGCTACGCATAATGTCATTGAAAGGTGTGCCTAACTCAACAAAAAAAAAGTTCAGTCAAGGAAATAAATAAACAAAAAAAGTAAATAAAGCAGCTTTTCCTATTTAATCAAGGAAAAGAACAGCATTGTTTTCTTTTTCCAGAAAAGAAAGGCTGTATTCTGGTATGCAAATGAAAAACTTCACTATAAGAAATAAGTTGATACAACCTTTGGGAGTGACAGAATAAAAATGAAACTGAATCAAGAATTCTATGATAAACCTAGGAAATTGATCTGCAGGAACACAGTCTCGTCCTTTGTCATAAACAATTCTAACAATGGAAATGGGACCGTGCCCTTTTAGAAACTCTCATAAGAAGGATCAAATCACAGCCAGATTGCATATACGATCAAGAGTTAATTCCTCCAAAACATTGCCAAATATATAGATAAAAGACTCAAAAGATCTGGATTTTATCTAAGATAATTAAATTCACCAACAAGAAAATCTAGCATATTAATTCCATCAGCCTGGATAATACATACTCTCGATGTTCAAATCAACAATGCTAATGTATAAAAGCTTTTACCTGGAGTATTGCAAGTAGCATCTGCACCATCTTCACCTCGCTTCCCACCTTTCAATACCATACCACCATTCAGCTTCAAAGTATACAACTCCAATTCCTTGTACTTTTCCTTCCAAACTTCAACTTCTATTGCAGCGCTTTTCTTCTCGTATTCCAAAACTTTGTTCTCAATCATTAACTGCGCCATCTTATCTTCCTCTTCCTCCGCAGTCAAATCAACCACACCATCCACCTCTTTAACTTCACCAATCTTTGCCCTCAAACCGTTTACTTCATTTGCAAGACTATTTTTTTCCTCTCCAAGTTCCTTAAGCTTAGCTTCAAGTTCATGATACTCGATGCTTTTCTTTTGAATCTCCCATTCTAATTCTACTATCCTCTTCTCAAATTCACCACACTTACAACTCTTCAAGACTTTGATTTCCACTTCCTCTGCCCTCACTTCCATGTCTAAAAACAAGAATCCAACAATCAAAACTCAGATGCAAGATTGCACCTTACCAATTACCTCAATAAGCCCATTCAAATCCTGCGTTCAAAATTATCACACACCCTAAAACTAACAACAATGAATGAAATTTCTAAAAAAGAAAAAATTTTATTACCAAAAACCAAATGACAAAGGTATTTAAAGAAAGCCCCAAGAAGAAATAAATCAACTTACCATAAAAGTTGGTAGTTAATAATTAGAAAGCTTGAGTCGTAGTTTGCCTCTTTCTACCTCTAGGGCTTTTCTTGATTTCATAGATGTTTAGAGAGTGGAAACTGGAAAGTGAATTATAACTGAGCAGCTTGGTGACGTTAGGGAATCTTACTAGATACGCCACGTGTACAATACACCAGTCAAAATACTATTTCGAAGACGGTCAACAGATAAAATACCTGTGCAGACACGTGGGTCAAAATTCCATCGTTTGGACAGATGGACCTTTTATTTTTTAGCATTTTTTTGAGTTGGGATGGAGAAGCATATTTTATAAATATATAATTGTTTTTTTAAAAAAATATATGAAAATAATTTTTTTATTTATTAAAGTTTATTTTTAATATCAATATATAAAAAAATCTAAAAATATAGAAAAATCCAAAATTTTATAAAACGTGAATTGTAGTTGCAATATGTAATATGATCAGTTTAAGAAAAATTAAATTTATGGTATGATGGCTTAGTTTAATTTATGCTATAAAATGTAATCGGGTATATAATATAACTATTATTATAGATATATAATCTTGTAACATATTTTTTTTTTGTATTTTTAAAATTCAAAAAATAGAAAATCATGAAAGAAAACTTAAATGGGTAAAGGAAGTTAGGGACGTGGAGTTTTTTTTTTTGGAAAATAAGTATGCCCGGCAATGCTATTTTTTTTAATTAAAAAAATCGACCAGTGCAAGTTCCGTGATAGATTTCGATGGTTAGCTGGAAATCTTACGGAATGATTGATTAGAAACTAATAATTATATAAGGGCAAAATCAACTCAACTAAGTATACAAGGACGTTCACTAAACTATTAACCATATTTTAGCCCTTATAGTTTAGTAGGTATTTCATTTTCATTAATAGTGTCACAGGGGAGCGATGTACTCTCGTGATGATGAAGGCTCTTATCATATCTTTTAATAAGGAGTATTATGTATTGAAAAATTACTATTAATTTTTAGAAATCGTCATCTAATATTATGGTTATTAGAAATTTATGATCTATGAGAATCTGAGTAAGGGACTGATTATGCAAGGGGAAGACACATCATCCCCAGTGTACTCTACCTAAGATAAGCTACATTGTTATTTGATTGTTTTTATGTTAAATTTCTATTTATTGGTCTTATCTAAGACTCAAGGCGGATTTTACTTCATGAGAGAGTTTCTACCTTATCGGATTAAATTTTAATCGTTCTAAAGTCTAAATTTTAGTATCACATTTATTTACACTTTGTATTTTTAATACCTGAGGATATACTTTATCATGTAATTTTACACCCATAAATATTAAAGTCTATATCTAGATCCTAGAGAAAATTAGAATTTTTTTTTTGATATTTTGGCTAAACCCTAATGGGTGATCATAAACTGGTTATGATATCCATTTTCGAGTTTTTAAAACATGAGAAATATGTAATTTTTTTTTTTAATGAAAACATGCTAGAAAAATTTTAGGATTTGACCGTATGCATGAAAATAATTTTTTAAAAAAAAATACAAATTGATTTAAAAGATTTTTTTGATTTTTTTTGAAATATTTTGGAGAAAATGGGTATTTTAATACTAGATTTATATTTTACAGTGTAAATATACAAACCAATATTATGAAAAATTAGTAGAAAAATATTTAAGAAAATCACAAATTTTTTTAAAGGATTTTTTATTTTTTTTGGAATTTTTTTCAAAAAAATATATAATATAATATTATATATATTAAATAAATATTATTAAAACATGTGGACTGGGTCGGCCTAGCTAACTAGGCCGAGCTTAGCCCCAGAAGAGGCGGGCCAATATCAGCCCAAAATGGTTGGGCTGATATTGGCTCAAAATTTTAGTTTTTTGTTTTTTTTTTTTTTTGGGGGGGGGGGCGGGGCCAGGCCAGACCAGCTGATTAGGCTAGGCCAGAATTGGCTCGACCCCAATTCTGTTTTAATTATTTGCAGAAATGTGAACATTTACTATTTACGTTCTACATGCAACAAAATGGTTGTAAAAGCAGATGGGTGGAGGAAGGTGACCTTACGGAGAAGAAGGAGTCGTTGTCACTGGCTTGACGTGAAGTTGGCGGAGGTTTTGGTGGAGCACACGGTGGCGGTGTTGGTTGCTTGTGATAGAGGAAGAAAGAAGAAGAAGCAGAAAAAGGAAATCTGCAACAGAGGGAGGTAGGACCTCACGTTGGCTCTCGATGGTCGGTAAGTGGTCTCCTATGGCGGAGCTGGTGGTGGATAGGTTGTTGGTGACTGAAACGGCGGAGAGAGAAAGCAAGAGAAAAAATTGCAGAGAGGCTGGTTTTAGGTCGACTTTGGACCAAATTTTCTCTTTCCTCAGGCCATCAAATCCATCTTTATTTATAGGCGGTGGAAGAGGGCAATCTTGTCTACTCTAAAGAAAAATTTTAGCCCTTGATTCAAATGAAAGGGATCCTAACAATTGACTCAAAGTAGGCATGATACACTGTCAAATTGTCAAATTTATAGCTGCAGGCTGCCTGAATTGGCCTCTTTGGGGTGGTGCCACATCCGTTTATTTGCCAGTGAGCTGGTGCCGACCATCCCTGGATGTAGAGGGATTTCTGATGATCAGTTTCGTGCAAGTTTTGGTAAATTTGGTAGACGTTAAGTGCATTAAATGCACCTGCAAAGAGGATGACCGAACTAGTTTTTTCAGAAAAATAAAAAAATAATGAATAGTGACTAGACGACGCGTCGTCTGGTTCTTTTTTTTTTCCAAAACGTTGCTATTATGGGTTGAATTAAGGATTTGAACTAATTTTCAATTTAGTCCTCCAACTTTTAATTTCTTTCAATTGAACCCCTAATTGACTCTAAACTTTGGATTTAATGCAATTAAGCCCCCGCTGAATTTCAATTGGAACCCCGAAGTTAGACACCTTTTACAATATGGTCCTTGGTCTCGGATTTTGTCAATTTAACCTGTAATTGACCCCAAAACTTCAATTTTCTTGCAATTTGGCCTCTAATTTCAATCAATTAACTTGGTAAAAATTAAATTTGGTTTCTTAAAATTTTAATATTCTCAATTAAGCCCAAATTAGACTCCCAAACTTAATTTTTCACCAATTAAGCCCTAAATAAAATTAATTTGACCCATTTAAAGTATAATTAAGTCTTTGCACTTAATTAAATTCTTTGATTGGACCCAAATTAATTCTTAAACATAATTAAAATTTAATTTGACCCATTTAAAGTATAATTAAGTCCTTGCACTTAATTAAATCCTTTGATTGAACCCAAATTAATTCTTAAACATAATTAAAATTTAATTTGGCCTATGATTAAATCAAATTGGCCTATTAAAAATTTAATTATGTCATTAGACTTAATTTATAGGTGAATTTATCCAATAATCATTTAATTTGACCTTGAATTTGTATTTTTTATCTGTTCTTGGGTATAACAAAGTACAATTAAGCCTTGAATTTCCTCCAAAAATTGTAGCTTGATTTTCCGGCCTGCTTTTTCCATGTTGCCAGCCATTATTTTATTTTTTTATTTTTATTTTGAAAACAAAAATTTAAAGAATAACCCAGAATTGGGTTATGACAAACAGTACCATACTAATTAATTCCTATGTTGTTTCATGCTGCAAAGTCTTAAACGGTAGTGTTTTTTTTTTTCTTGTGAAGAGAAGCAGAATATAATCCAATGTGGCTACTGGTAACATAAGTTATTATGATGTTTTTTAATCCAATCCCTAGTTTTCAATTCCTTTAATCAAACCTATTATCTTTTAAAAGTTTAAAATTGGTTTTTAATTGACCTGATAAATTCTTGAAACATTAAATCAGGTCCTTCAAATTAGACTTGTAAACTCAAGTTAGAATCCTTCTTGCAGTAGGATTCTCTACTTTCATGCTAGACATTCAAACATGAATATCTTGAACTTCTGATATCGAAATTAAGCGATTCAAAAATCTAAATTCATTTACACGTATAGGTTTACAACTTTCATGGGGATTTAAAGTGAGATAAAATTAATTTGAAAAATAGAATCTGGTCACAATCTACTTGGTCACAAAGATCTCCTGATCTAATTCAGAAATTAACAATGTTAAGCATTCAAATCTGACTAAGAGTCTAATATAAGAATAGTACGCCCTAGAACCTAATAAAGGTGCATATCAATTCTTTAACATGTCATGAACAACAGAATATAATTAAGATGGTTAGATATTGCATGAAACTAAGTCAGAATCAAAATCTAAATTGGAACAAAATTCGTATTATAAGTAGAATTGCGACAATAGCAGAATGAGTTTTGTTAGTGCAAATTTTGAGTGATTTATCTAAACTTAAAGACCAGATAAAGAAGAGACAAGTTTAGCATCTCGAAGACTCCTAATTAATCTAATAATACAAATGATTTCGACAACGAAGGGGAATTATAAAGAGTGCAGAAAACAGCTGAAACAGAGTTCGAAAAATATTTTTTTCTTCTCTATTTTTGTCAATTTTCCAGCAACTATGAGCTAAAATCTTGCATTCGGTTTAAAAGAAGTACACATCATCTCCAACATGTAAGGCCCAAAAATGAGTAACAACAACTATGAATTAAATGAAACAACGAAATCACGATCACAACTATTGTTACTCAGTTTTTAGCCCCACATAATGGAGATGGTGTGGATCTCTCTTGAACTAAATGCAGAAGTTTAGTTCATGGTTATTGAAAAATTAACAAAAGCAGAAAAGAAAGAAATGTTTTTTCGAACTCTATTTCAACTATCTTCTACTCTTTGTATCCTCCCCCTTTGCTGCCTAAATCATCAGGATTTTTAGGCTAATTAGGAGTTTTCATAATGCTAAATCCATTCCTTCTTTATCTGGTCTTTAATGTTGAATAAATCCCTCAAAATTGCACTAAAAACTAATTCTGCTGTTGTCATAATTTTTTTGTAATATCAACTTTGTTCCAACTTATATTTTGATTCTGACTTGATTTTGTGCAATATCCAACGCTGTCATTCATGACATGTTAACTGATTAATTTGCACCTTTATTGGGTCTTAAGGCTCATTGTTTTTAGGTTAAA